TTTTGGGCGTTCTCCACGGTGAAGGACATGTTGTAGCGCTGATCGATACCTCCTCCTTGGAAGAAACCGCCTCCATGAATCCAGAATGCGACTGGAAGCTTGTCCTCTGCACTGCATCCTGCCGGGCGGATAACGTTCAGGTACAGGCAGTCTTCCGATATCTAACATAAGGAAACCAGGTCAGTGCATGCAAACTGGCTATCTGATTTGTTCGAAACTTACCGGGTAGTTCCATTGATCAGACCCATATCCGTAGCACTGCAAGGTCTGTTAGCCATGTCTTATACGTCAGGCAAAGTTATGTACCTCAGTAGAGTACTGCGTCGCCGGCTTTGATTCATCCCAAGTAGCATTGAGGCTGACAGGGTTTCTGAAGCGAAGACTCCCAACGGGCGGTTGAGCATACGGAATACCCAAGAAGAAGTCCTGATCATATTCGGCAGAGTGTGTGCCGAGATACGTTCCGTTCTTCGTCTGAGCGGTGGGCGTAGCAGCTTCGGAAGCTGCTAGGCCGAGGAACAGCGCGGCCGCTAGAGAGTTGCGCAACATCTTGACAAGCGATGACAGATGGGATCAAGCCCAAGCAATCAGTAACCTCAGCCATGCTTTATAGTGACAAGCCTTAGCTCGCTGTCGCTCGGTAGCCTCGTCTCGGGGGATAAAGGTCGTGTCGAACAGCGCGACTAGACATCTGCCGCTCCGTCCTTGAATCCGGGGTATGACGGTTTGGCACGCCAAAAATGAAAATGGTCCGAACCGAGGATGGAGTTTTGCGGGGATCATGACATCGTGACGCTCGTTGGTTTTCTCGGGAGGTGGAGAAGCGTGCGCGACCGGACTTGCTATTGGACTGCTCCAGCCCGGTGTTTACCCGCAGACCTCTAGATGTCTCCTAGCGTAGCAATCTGGGCGATGCTGTGGGGTGCAGGAAAGGCACACACCAACGGCATTTCTGAGTCTGGGGCTCAGACTTTCCCCGGTGTTTTGGCCCCCAGGAATCCTCTCCTTTCCACTTTGATCACGGCACACGATACACGGGATCTTTGAGATACTCTCATGGCATTGAGTGAAGACGCACGTACTAAATGCGCAGCAAATACTGCAATGCATACACAAGACAGAGGGTCTACAAAAGCACTCGGCAATTCCATCGGAGGCACTACGGCATTCTACCACCGGAACAGGAGTCCGCTTCATGAGGCTCTTCTAGCGACTCAGCTTTCTATGCTATCGCCAAGGTCCTTACTCGGTAGTATTGGTAATTGTGGTGCATATCGCGATCCAACCAGAACCGCCTCACCAGAAGTGTCTTAGCCCTTTCTCCTTATCCGGTGTGTGAGAATTTTGTCGCCGCGACAACTCCATTCGGTCTACCATCCGTGCGACTTGACACAGGCAGGTACACATGCGGCGTTTTGATTGAGCTGGCCATCAATGGTCCTGGGTAGCAACCGCATGAGAATGGGTGAGGGGTCCGCCAGCCTAGTTCTCCCAGGGCACTTGGAGTTACGACCCCATGTAACTTCGAACTACAAGCGGCCGCTGGTCCCTTCGAAGCATAGCCCACAATGTGAGTTGTTTCGAGTCTATTTCCATCACACATCAAATCAGTCTCGAAAGAACTCGCCGTGGATCGTGTGTAGTGAGTACTTTTGTGTGCACTGACAGATCATCAGTTTAATTACGTGGTATCATCTAGAATATACTATTATCCGCGCAAGTGAACGGTCCGTTCAAAGTGCTGTTGGGATCATTGTAGATGTCAATAAGAGCCTTCAATGATGTGTACAGTCCTCCTATCATAAGGAACAACGTCACCATCATGATGCCGTAGTTGACAGCGGCTACCGCCTTCTTCCGTGGTGAACTCCATTGTGTCTTCCAGTTCAGATGTAGCCAGAAAATGCTCGTGAGACCAAAGGTGAACCACGAGATGAAGATAGCAGACGAAATGTTGAGGATAGATGAGAAGATGGGTATCGCGTTCGAGATGACGAAGGAGACAATCCAGAAGAGGGCACCGAGGCCAATCCAAAGGGTCCATGTAAGGGCGTTGTGTACGTTGACAGCCTCGGGCTTCATGCTACGCATGATAGTGATGTACTACATTGACGTCAGCTTTGTCTACTTTCTCGCGGGAGAAGAGATCTTACCATAAACTTGATGGCAGTAATACCGATGATCAGGCCAGTTCCCAGCACAGAAGGAATAAGAATGCCGTAGGCAATCTTAGCTGTCAACTCTGGCGCAGAACCAAGCGCGGGAGATGTAACTGCATCGCCTGCCAGGCCGTAGATGACACAGGCGACCACGATGTAGATTACGACCTCGAAGGACTTCTGCATAAAAAGAGCAGGGGCGAAGTCCTTGGATGGGTCTCGCATCTCGGCCATAACGCTGATGAAGCTTTGGTTTCCCGCGAAAGCAAAGGCGACATTGAGCAGAGCATTGACAGCCTCGACAAAGCTAGGCTTTCCGACCAGAACTATCTTGGCCTCGAAACCTGGCGGAGCTTGTGGTCCACCGACACCAAGCGCGATCATGACGATCAGAACTGCAGCTACGATGGAAATCGTGCAGACCCAGCTAGCTGCGGCTGCAAAAGAGAGCTTTCGTGGGATGCAGAGCAGCCAGCAGAGAATATGAGGGAACGCTAAGAAAGCCACCGTGCAGAGGGCATGACGCGAAAGCGTGTTGAGTGCGACCGACAAAGTAATGTTTGCCGAAGCGCAGATAAGAACGAGGTTGAAAACGAAAGCGATTCCAAGGAAGCACTCGAATGGCTTGCCTCCGACGTACAGCGCGCAGTCTACCAGATTGGTGACCATGGGATATTTCCTGTAGAACTGAAGAAGGATGTAACCGCAATAGGTCGTCAGACCACCGAATCCGAGGATTGCGATAATTCCGGGGATCAGACCGAGCGTCTTTAAAGCGGAGGGCAAGCTGAGGATTCCGATTCCGACTTCGATGGTGATCAGGATCACACACGCTCGCCATCGGCCCAGTGTACGATAGTTCTCTCCCGGAGCATTGGGATACTCGGTCGCTCCGGCAAACCCGTCGCCTGTCCATCCCGTCGTTATGTCGGTGTTGTGTCCGTATGCCTCCATATCGTCTTTATCCGATGCGGTCGTGTGAGAGGCAACATCGCCGTTGGAAGGCGTTTGGGGCTCTTTCTTGAGGAAGGCTTTTAGACCCATGGTTGAGGTTTGACCGTAACAACGTGTTACTGGGTCTCAAAATGCAATGAACGAAATATAACTCGGTAGCGAGGAGCGGCGACGCTGGGTCTTTTGAATCTCCTCGCCTCCTGTATCGGACCTCTGGGTCATCATCCTAAGACGTAACGTGTGCTAGTGGCCGAGCAGATCCTGGGTGATCGCCTCCCGGCGACTAATGCACATATTGACTTGAATTCTGGGTAGCATGACGCACCTCCAATGGATCCGCTGTCAAGCTTGCCATAGCGGAATGTAGTTTGTGGGGGAATGCACACGAGGAGGCTACATGCGGCATAGGCATCAGAAAACATCCTCGCTGCGTAGTGCCAGTGCAGAAAGGGTCCTGAACTTTGATGAGAAGTGTGGGTCATCGTGAGTAATAGTTTGCGCTGAGACGTGACCGTGTCGTCGCGAGCTCCACATATCACGTAAAAGTCTTCGAGAAATTCTTCGTGCCGGGATTGGCCGCTTGGCAACGTCCTGGAGCCACCCGAAAAGCGGTGCTAGGTGTGACGTATTAGCTGAGCATGCTAGATGTCTGTCATCAAAGAGTTCGTCTGAGTAGTGTGAGAGATGCAGTCGACAAGGTGATGCCGTGGTCAGCGGGAGGGAGGTGGGACCAAAGCGGGCGCTAGAGACGACTAGGCTGGTGCTCCCTCCAAGGCTGCATGTGAGGCGGCACGAGGCACGCGACAAAGCACGCAGTCGTAATGCTTTCTGTTGCACGGAATTCAATACTTTCAGAACGTGTAGTTATCGTAGCGGATTCGATCGAGTAGCCTCCCTTCTGTCTCATCAATGTTAACACGACACTTACGAATTGCAATGAGAGCTTCTTGTCCGTTGAACTTAGTGGCTGGTAGCTGCGATCATTCGCAAGTGCACACACCGGAACGCATGATGATACAGTTCCAAGGGCTGCGGAATGATTTTGGGAGACTGTATGCAGACTTCTTATCGCGAGAAGATAGCGTATCGGGGCGGTAGCACTACATCTAAGCTGATGGTGTTGCAAAAAGGTACGGCCGGGCCTTGATTGGCTCAAATGCAGGGCAAGAATTAGCTCGTCCTTGGCCGTCATGGGCCTGAAGGTGGTTTTGGTGTCTGGACTTTCCATGCTGTGCTTGGTACCCGGTCCGTGGAGTACCTGGAGACAAGACTGCGGGAGACGAGGCGAAAATGGGCAAGCGATTGTCATAGCAAACATGACGTTCGACAGATGATCAGTTGATGGCGCCCGAACCAAATGAGCCGCGGAAACGGCCATTGACACTAAGTCGCTTCCCAGTTTAGCGTTTGACTATTGCCACCGCGCCTTGTGGGGCTCACCGGGGAATAGAATAACAAGGTTCCCCAATGTCGCTCCAGCGGCATCTTTGCGGGAAAATCAGCGGGTATGTGAAAGTCGAGTAGATATCGAGATGGACAACCGCGAGTGAGAAGGTCTTGTGTTGAGCAGGCCGATGAGTGTAGATGAAAAAGCAGAGAAATATGCTCGCCAAGGACTGCCGATCGTCCCGTTCTAGTGCACCCGCTGGTTGGACGGCAGGTGGCACCGACCCAGGTGCCAGAACTTTCCCTCTTCTACTCCCGCCTTCTTGTACCACACACCGCCATCGCACAACCTTTGTTCCCGGCCATCTTGCGTATATTTTGTTTGTTACTGGGTCATTCAAGGCCAAACGCAGAGAAAGCTCTACTCACATAGCACGCCACCCCCGAGCTAGACGACGACTGCGTGTTGGCGAAGCCGTAAGAACCAAATCAGGTTGCAGAATGTCATTTCTTACCAAGAACCGAAGAACAAGTCCTCAAGATGCCCCCGAAGCCACCCAAGACAAATTTCCCGCCGCTCAGCTCGGCCTCCTAGGTATGGTTTTCCCAAGCCACCGACACTAGTTATTGTTCGCCCGAGCCTCGCACTGACAACACACCCCAGCGCTGGTTCGAGTCGCAGAGCCAATTGCCCTTACTTCGATACTCCCATACGCATGGAAACTCGTCACCAACTTCCAAGTTGGGTCCGAAACGAGCGCACCGTTCTTTGCCGGTCTGCTCATCTCTGCCTTCTCGCTCGCCGAGGCATGTTCAGGCATGTATTGGGGCTCAGTGTCCGACCGTATAGGTAGAAAACCCGTTGTCATACTTGGATGTCTTGGGACAATGTCCTCTTTGCTACTTGTTGGCTTAGCTCCAAACTTTTGGGTCGCGCTCCTTGGGCGAATCATCGGCGGCGCACTCAATGGCAACATTGGCGTCATCCAGACCATGGTTGGAGAGTTGGTCAAGCGACCAGAGCATGAACGTAAGTGACCACAACTACTTCTGTCGGGCGTTGCTAACTAGAAACAGCAAAGGCGTACGCAGTCATGCCATTCGTCTGGAGCATTGGTACTATCATTGGCCGTAAGACAAGATCAATCCATCGACTCCTGCTTATTTGTACTAACTACAACAGCGTCGATTGGCGGATACTTTGCTGAGCCCGCTCGTAACTTCCCATCTGTCTTCAGCCCCACAGGCCTTTTTGCGAAGTTCCCTTACCTACTCCCAAATATCATCTGCGCTTCCTTGCTTCTGCTCTCCATCTTCATGGCATACTTCCTTCTAGAGGAGACTCACCCGGACAAGCAGCCACGAGGCTACTTCGAACAATACGATGCGGCTGTCGCAGAGACACCTCTTTTGCCAGCTCAAGGCGCGACGGCCGATGCGTCGGCAAACCTGACCGCGGAATCTTACGGCACCTTCAACGCCGTGGAAGTCGAACACGACGAGATCTGGCGGGTGCGCTCCAACGGCGACTGGGTTGAATCTCCGACGAGCGAGAAGGTCTTCACACGTCCAGTCATCATGTTCGTCGTCGCCCTAGGTATCTTCACGTACCATTCCGTAAGTCTCCTAGTCCATCACAACGAACGAACAGCCGGCTAATTGTATACTAGATGACATACGATCACTTGCTCCCCATCTTCCTCCAAGACAAACGCGCCGACGATGACATGAACGCGCTCGACCTTTCGCCTTCGTCATTGGGAGGTGGGCTTGGCATACCCATCCAGAATGTGGGCATTATTCTTTCCCTCAACGGTATCATCCAGCTTGCTATCCAGGGTTTCGTCTTCCCTCTACTGGCGGATTGCTTTGGCGTATGGCGTCTGCTTCTCATGGTCACACTGGCACATCCGATCGCATACTTTATTGTTCCTTTCTTACAGCTTCTTCCGGAGAACTTGGTCTATCCTGGTTTGTTCGCTTGCTTGACCGTACGGAACTTGACGTCGATTCTCGCCTTCCCCCTCCTTCTGATCATGATCAAAGAGGCTACGCCCGATAGATCGCATCTTGGAAGAATCAACGGATTGGCTGCATCTACCGGCGCTGCCTGCCGTACAGTAGCAAGTCCCATCGCCGGTTTGCTCTACGGCCTCTCTCTCGAGCTTCACTTCACGCCTTTAGCTTGGTGGGGTTCCGCTCTGGTCGCAATTTGCGGAGCTCTTCAGGTGCCCTTCCTCAATCGCGCAGCGCATGAGTGTCACGCTCGAGTGCGTAACGCGGCTAGCGACTATCTGACCAAGGAGCGCCGTCGGAGCGAAGTGGTTCGCATTGTAGTAGAAGATCAAGAGTAATCGGTGCAGCAGGTCTCGCGCATGATAAGCATCAGTTTGATTATAGGTGAGAAGTTGGCATGGCATTTTTGTTTGTTCGTTTTTCCATATCGACTCGCTTGTAAAAAGCGAGTTTGCTCCTCGGCGTCTTGGGTACAACGGCAACGATACCAGAACACAAGGCATTGGCGTTTAGCATAGGTCTCTTGGCGTTTACTGTATTTACATTAGCATAGATCACTGTTACCATTTGCATGTTTGGCAACAAGAACAATACGACACATTTTCCACAGGCCCAAGTCACAGTAACTGCCGTTCTCGAGTGTGCAGCTGAGAGCACTGGGGTAGAACATAGCATAAAGTCAGTCGTTCATGCGAGGTCCTCCATCACGGATGAATGCTTGAAACGGCTGGGATGCCATGAACACGGGGAGTACGAGAATAGCAACGTGTCAGGGCACTCCGAAAGGGCAACCCGACAATACCCCGAGGTAGTGAGATGTAATCGAAACAGCTCTTCAGCTAAGGATGGAGTAGTGTTGCCATCTACTGTGCTACTTCATCATAATCTGAAAGCCTCGGATAAACCCAAGTTCAACACATAGCCGAGTTCGCTTGTGTACTCGTGTCGTGACAGCTCGTAGCACGGTCCATCGCGAGTCGCGAACACAAGGTGGTGCCGTCATTCCCGCGCTCACGAAGCAATCGTGTGCGCCTGTGTTCCGAGCTGACACCGCCACTCCCGGCCGTTCACGACATCTTTTTGCCCTGTTCCACACGCTGCAAGGTACCCGTGCGCCATGTCTCTAAAGCTTGTTGTCTTATCCTTGCATGATGCGCAATGTCTGAGAGGCAGGCAACCGCAACCTCCATTTAGAAGTCAGATCAGCTTTTCGATAGTGCACAGTATTGATTTGCAGAGGGATGTTGAGTTATTTGCGGCCGATGAATCGCGCATTTCCATCCATGGGCTCGCTTGCCCGCCCAACTCGACCAGAAGTACCTGAGGTGTTAACACGACGAGCCGATGGCTTTCCCACGGCACTTCAAAGCTCTCGTTCATGCCACGCTCCTTCCAATAAAGCAACCAAGCCTTTGAGACACGACCTTCCGAAGGGCCTAGGATGTATGTCACTCGAAGCTTGTTGTTCCTGACGCTCGTTGGCCGCAGCGATGGCGGAACACCCATGAAACACGCTCGTGCATATTCTTTAGAACGACAGCGTCATGGCTATAGTTGGTCGGCGGCTCCGCCCAAAAAGGAAATACAGGCAACGGAGATCGACTTGGCTAGGCAATACGGCTCTGGACGGATGCAGGAGAATGAACGGAGTGGAGACGATGCAGGAGGTGAGCAAGAATGGATCCCTCCAGATGCCTGTATGTAAGACATTGGCGCATTCGAAGTATCGCTACTGAAGGTGACCCGAAAGGCAACAGAGCTGGGTGCGATGACCTGTCGACAGCCTGCGGCTCTGCGTTTCTACCCGTACGACTGACACTGGACCCCGACCAGTCGTTGGCCTGTCGCACAATATACTTGACGCTCTTGGCTTGCCAAAATACACACTGCCAACGCCATTGGCTCGTACCTGCATGATAGTCTACTCCGGTGGGCTATTTAGGGCGTTTCGGAAAGCGCCCCTGTTCGCTTACGATGTGCTCACGCCAAAGCCATCTGACTGGGATCCACCATCTTTAGCCAGGCCATCTTGTAACCGACGACCCTACTGCCGAGTGGGCCTGCAGAGCGCGCGACAACGACCGACATGGAACCTCCTTGGGCGACTCGTTCTGATCGTGGCTGAGCATGCGAGTCGGAGGCCCTCGGCGGACCAATCCTTTAGAAATGTTTCGAGACGGCTTGTTTCGAACGAGCGCTGGTGGTAGAAGTATATCTTGACCCTTCATCCTTCCCATCAGTGCATCTACACACGCTTTGTTTTCTAATCTCAGCATTGCATTTGCTGCTACTTTCGCTTCCCAAGACGAACATAGTCGCACTCTTTTTGACTTTGTTCTCTTGTTAGACCGTCATTCGTTAAGGTCCAACTACAACATACATTGATATTCGCTTTACTACCTAAATTCGATTTCGACGTTCATATATCACCATGAAGTCTACCTACGCTCTCTTGGTCACTGGCCTCGCCGCTCAACAAGCCGCGGCCACCTGGAACTTCTTCGACAACTTCGGCACTCCCGACTACAGCAACAACGTCTGCGACGATAAGCAGAAGGGCGGCTTCAACTGGGCCGATCTTATCGATGGCCAGGATGTCGGCAACTATGGAGACTTCGACTTCTCTGGGGGCTGGAAATGCTCAAACTCCTTCGGCAAGCGGGACTCTCTGAGCAAGCGAACCTTTGGAAACAAGTGCATCAAGAACACCATCCAGAAGAACAAGCCCGCTGCATTTGGCTGTGCCCAGCGCGGTTTCTCCATTACTCACATGGACGTCTCGGCTGAGTTCGACGCTGAGCTCGAGCTCCACTACAAGATGGGAGACGGATCCATCTGCAAGCAACACAGCAGCTGCTCGGCTGGTGGATCAACACTGCAGAACACCCAGTGTGGTGGCGCAAAGTCCGTCGAGGTCTACCTTGGATCTCACTACAAGGGTGACAAGGAGTCTTGCGAGATCGGTTTCCACAACATCGGCTTCGACTGTGACGCTGAGAAACCATACACTCCTCCTTCGCCTCCTTCGCCGCCCCCTCCACCTGAGGTTCCCGCCTCAAGCGAGGTTCAGTCTTCCACCATCGCCATCGAGTCGTCGACTGCCCCAGCCTCCAGCGCTGTTTCTTCCGCTGTTGAGACTACGGCTTACTCTGCCATCGAGACTACCGTCGTCTCATCTGCTGTTGAGACCCCTGCTTCCTCATCCGCTGTCGAGACTCCCGCCACTTCGGCCAACGAGTGTGGACAGTACGGTGGAGAGGGATGCCCACCCGCCGAGACTCCTGCCTCTTCAGCTGCTCCCTACACCAACAGCTCCATGCCCGCCTACACTCCTCCAGCTTCCTCCGCCGTGGAGATCACCAGCTACCCTGCGTCGGTTCCTTCCATCAGCACCGCTACCCCCCAACCGGAGTCTTCCACTGTTGTTGTGCCACCCACATCTGAGAGCTCTGCTGCTGCTGGCTGCGGATACGGAGAGTCTTGCGAGCAGTCATCCACTGTTGTAGCCTCCTCCGCTATTGTCTCCTCCGCCGTTGTCTCGTCTGCCGTTGTCACATCTGCTGTCCCTGCTACCAGCTCAGCCGCTCCTCAGCCTTCCAGCCCCAGCTACCCTCCCGTCGACATCACCGACTCGGTTCCCAAGTGCATGAACTCGTGGCTCCAGATCTCGGCCCCAGACTGCAAGGACAACACCGACTCCAGCTGCTACTGCCTCAAGCCTGAGTTCACCAAGAACGTCATTGACTGCATCTCTGCCCGCTGCGGTAGCGATGACGAGATCAGCAAGGGTCTGCAATACTTCATCGGTATCTGTGCTCAGCATGTCCCCGAGAACCCTTCCATTGTCGGAGACTGCCCTTCGTACATTCCTTTGAACCCTACCCCTGCTGCTCCTTCTGCTCCTCCCGCTCCCCCTGCTGGTGGTGAGAGCTCCGCCGCTCCCTCTGCCCCTGCTTCCAGCGCGTACGGCCCTGGTTACCCTGATGAGACTCCCGCTGCTAGCACCACCACTGCTGCCGGCGAGACTCCTGCGATAACCACTGCTGTCTCTTCTGCAACCATGACTGAGGTCGTTGGTACCACCACTGCTGCTGGAGAGACCCCTGCTGAGGAGACACCTTGCACCACTATCACATTCGGCACGACTACTCTTACCGTCCCTCAGGTTCACTTCACCACTCAGCCCGCCTCTGCTGGCGCCAACCCAACTGAGCCCGTTGCTCTTGTTCCCGGCACTGCTGAGCCTCCTCAAACCCCAGCTGCCACCACACCAGCCGGTGGTGCGCCTTACCCCATCCCCTCTACCATGGGAACCGCCACTGTCCCGATGGGCACTGCCACGGGTACTGGTGCCGTCCGTCCCTCTTCGCCAGCTGAGTTCACTGGCGCTGCCTCGCCCTTCAACGTTGTGCCCAAGGGTGCTCTGTTCGGTGCGGCTCTTGCCTTGTTCGCATTGTAGACGCTATATATTTTAATGTAGTGCAGCTTTCCTTTTCTATGTCTTCACTGTTTGTATTTAGCGGTTGGTGCGAAAAATGATACACAGCCCGCATCTGAAGAAGCGATGGTGTAATACATGGGTTTTCCTTGGAACCATAGAGTATATAGACAAGTATACATATGTGATTTACAACTCATACCCGCTCTCTCGTGATGATGATTGTTTGCGCAACGTGTAGTAAGAGATGCGCGTGCAAACCAAGTCTTAGTAGACACCAATATGTGGACCACGGGATAGCTCTCTGGGCTAAGGTAGCCCCAGACTAGGAAATGTCGTTCGCATGTGAGAAGATTGGGGTAGATGGCCAAACTGCCGAGGTCCGTCAAGAGCGGCTCCTGTGCGCAACCTCCAGGGATCGTCATCAATGCTAGCTTCCCCAGACTCCGCGTGTGCCGTCTAATGACAATAACAACAGCCCCTCAAACTATGAGCCCGAATACAATCGCAGACGCCCACCATGTCGTCTGGCGCATCGCAGCCCACGCCGGGCCCCGCTAAATCGCAACCAATCGACCCGATACTGCGCAATGCGCTCCGCTACACCATCTCGGCAAAGGAGTACCAGCTGCTGCACCAATACCTCCTTTCGCGCGCCCCAGTCGTCAAGAAGCGCACCATAACCCCGAAGCGATATGACGCCATTGTCAAGGGCCCGGATGATTACAATGTAGCCGCCTTCCGCGCGGCACTGCGTTTGGGCATCGTGACCTTCTCGGGGCTGAAGGCATGGGAAGTCGTGAAGACCAGGCTTCTGTCGCGGGGGACAGCGAATAGGTGGGCATACATCTGGTCGCGTTTAATCGATGCGCATTAACAATCCCCTAGGAACCAGCCCAG